ACACACACACACACACACACACACACACACACACACACACACACACAAACACAAACACAAACACACACACACACACACACACACACACACACACACATTGTCATGCTTCTCTGTGCTTGGTTATAATTTAGTCCTTACTTTTCAGTACAGATACAAACGTCCTTGGCGACTATCAGACAGAAGATGCTGAGTGTTGTGTCTCTATTCTGTTATTCCTTGATGATTAAACTTAGTCAATAAAAAGGAAAACAAAACAAAAACCTAGAAGTTACAAACAAAACCAGATTAGAGCAGATGATCAAACAATTCAAAATCACAAAACGTTCGGTAGATGCATGAAATCTGTTTCTAAATCAAAACGGAAAAAAATAACGAAAGACAAGCAGACACAGCGTTACTTATCGGTTTATTTTTGCAGTGACTCTCTGTCTCATTTTAAACACACTGCCTGCTAAACGCCAGCCCCCTCTCCAATTTTCCCATAAAGGACACGGGTGAGGGTGGGGGTGTAAACAAAACAAATCGCTTTACACAATATGAGAGGCAGTCTCTATCAAAAGGGAAAACCCACATCAACATCCATCTAAAGAATCCCGTGTTTTAAAAAATGTAATGATCAACAAGGGCATTGTGGCTTACTTGTTTCTTGAAATTTGCAGTCAAAATACAACTTTTGACATTCTTTTTACATGTGTCATAGGCCTACTTGTCACGCCGCAGAGCGGTGGAATCAGGCGCTCGTCATTTTTTGTGCTTATGGAGTTAATAGTTTCATCTGAAAGCTTGTCCATTTGTCTTGCTTTGTATGACAAAAATACCCATCAATCTTTAATAGGTCGCTACCCTAGAATTACAAAGTTCTATTTGCTCAGTACCCAAGTTTGAGAAATTTGAAGTTAAAAATAAAATTTTGAGGTCCACAACTTGTCAAGGTTTTCCGAACCCGAATTTAATTATCTTACAATTTTGATAGAGCAGATTAGAACATTTGGTTTTTGACTTCATAGTCCCCGTAGAAATATCAGCTAAAACTTTATAATTCTACAGCAGCGAGGTGTCGAGGTATTTGCAAGTTGAAAAGATAGGGGTCGCCTGGTTTCAGAGGTAAAAACTTCGAGACAATGGTCGTATAAGCTTGGTGACTGTCAAAGCTTTAGTTTTCTTTGGAAATTGGATATCTGGAATATTTTTGTTAGCCTTTGGTCAACGTTTTGCAGTATAACCCATATAGAAAAACGTGTCTTTTAAGTGGACATAAAAGGTGCAGGGCCAAAAAAATTGATAAAAATTGCTCAACAGGCACAAAAATGTCTGTTTCTTCGACTTTGTTATTTTGACGAGAGCCTGATTCTATCCCAATGCCTCGCATATTTTACCTTTGCACCATACACGTGATCGGCATGGTTGTGGGTGTAGACGATACCCTTCACGGGTTTCTTAGTGATCTTCTGGAATTCGGCCAAGACCTCCCTTCCGGCGTGCACACTCTCCGTGACGTCAACGATGACCACTCCATCCTCGCCTTCGATCATCATCGAGTTGGCAAGTGCGAAGCCGATAGCGACGTGAATTCTGGGTGTTACCTAGAGGATGGGGAAAGGGAGGGGGTGAGATTAGAAAGATCGAGAAAGAGAGAGGGTAGAGGTGAGACCATGATGAAAAAAATTAAGAAAGGGATCAACTAGTAGACAGACAGACAGACAGCCAGACATACAGCCAGGCAGACAAACAGACCAGGCAGACAGACAGACGGACAGACAAACAGAAAGAAAAACAGACAAACAGACAGATAGACAGAATGGAGGCGGAGGTTAATTACGTCCTCAGATCTTTGACCTTTGTACTTCTAGCCCCCACATAACTCATGCATCCCTTTGTCCGTCCATCTGCTCACCCTCTCTGATATTCCATAAATGTTCCGCCTGTTAGTTAAAATTTAGGCCTGTGCTAGCCACCCGGTCTGGGGTGGCTAGAGTTTTGCCACTCGAACGAATTCGGTCGATTAGCCTGACGCTACGGGCCCGTGGGGATTTCTGCGACCTCGGGTAGATAGCATTTTTTCATCCTTATCTCCCCTTCTTCTTTTTTATGTTTGTTACTCTCTTGTAACACCTCTAATCTTCTGGCGCTCAAATGACCTTATGCAGTTGCGAGCGCCGTAAAACCTGTACTAATACTAAAACTAAAAGAAGCCGGTCACGTACATCTAGTACTGGGTAACGTTAACACGGCCTGGCGGCCTTCCGATCGACAAGAAGCTAAAGAGAGCACCTAGCATACCTCTGTGATTGGCCCAAATATAGATGACGTATTTCCGCCATCTATGTTTCTGTCCTCAGAATAATTCGCGTCCGCAACCCGCAACTTGCGTGCGCAACTTTTGCCACCAGCGCAACTTTTGCTAATTGTTCATGCAACTTTTGCTATTTTCAAATGTAACTTTCTTCGGGGCTTCCCTCGCGAGTTGACTAGATCTATCACCCTTTATTATTATTCTTCAGAATGCCGGTGACTAAGTTTCTAAAAATATAAATGCAGCGTTGTGATGTTATTAAAGATTCTCTACTACCAATATGTTTCAATTGCCCTATCTCGCGGCCGAGCGAGACTTGGGTGCGACCTTGTCGGGGCGCTTGACACCCGTGATATTTGGGTAAACAAATGTTCCAGTGCTGAGTTGAAAGCGAGTAATTTTTGTATGCGGCAGAGAGAGAGAGAGAGAGAGAGAGAGAGAGAGAGAGAGAGAAACCCCCACTGGCCAGAACACGGTACATGCGCAGAAAGCCCCTCGCGACCCAGAAGCGTCAGGCTAATCGACCGAATTCGTTCGTGTAGCAAAACACTAGCCACCCCAGATTGGACGGCTTGCCACTTGGTAAAATATATCAGTTCATCCATCTATACCAGCTGTGCGTTGTTCATTTTATTCATCTCTACGTAAGTCTGAATTGTACATGTCACTTGTTCATATACATCTAACAATCCGCCGGTCACTTTATCCCTCTTTTCTCTTCCTACGTTGTGTGTAGGTCCGTGTTTCTATCTATCTATCTATCTATCTATCTATCTATCTATCTATCTATCTATCTATCTATCTATCTATCTATCAATACCCGTTCTTCCATCCATCCATCCATTCAGCCAGCAAGCCAGCCTTTCGTCTGTGCATCCATATATTATGGCTACTCCTTTCTGTTGATTGGTTTCTTTTAAAAGTGTTCATCGCTTTCTTTGTCTGTTAGATTGTCTAATTATCGAACTGTCAGCCAGGCTGCAACCTAAGTGCTCTTTTTCTATCATCTACCCACCAACAAGTGTCCAATCCATTCTCCATCACGTACCCACATTACAGTATCCTCACATGCTTACCTTAACGACTTCTTTGGTCTTGAACACCTTCGTATGTTCCTTCAACTTAGCTTTGTCTGGCACGTCTCTCTTGGCCACGCGGTGTAACATGGCTTTGCGCTGTAGCTCTGTGTAGTACATGTACCCCTGGAACAGCACTGCGGCGAGGGCGATTCCAATGCCCACATCTCGAATAGACACTCCCATGTCACCTGTTACTGCTGCTGCTGCTGCTGCTGCTGCTGTAGTTGTTGCTGTAGATGTTGATGTTTAGTTGGGTGGTGTTGAAGGCTCAGTTCACTATCTGAAGTTATACTGAAAGTGACACTTTAAAAAGTGCTAAAGTAGTAGAAGTAGTAGTAGAAGTAGTAGTAGTAGTAGTAGTAGTAGTAGTAGTAGTAGTAGTAGTAGTAGTAGTAGTAGTCGTCATCGTCGTCGTCGTCGTTGTATTTGTTTTTGTTGTTGTTGTTGATGTTGTTTTTGCTGTTGCTGTTTTGTTGTTGTTGCAGATTACGACTTATCAGCACAGTTATTTTCTACATCTGCATCACCAAAGCTTTTTTTTTTGCAGTTGTTTGTTTGTTTCTCTAATTGTTGCCGGGGGAGAGTATTTTTAAAATGTTTGTTTTTGTTTGTTGTTTTGTTTGTTTGGGGTTTATTTTTGGTATTTTTTGTTGTTATTTTTTTATTTGGGGGGGGGGGTGGTGTTGGTGGCGTTGTTGCAGGATTGTACTGTACAGTCAATCAGTATGACAACGTCATATTTCAATAGGAAGTGGTTATACAAGAAAAGAAAGTAGAAAATAATCACGCCAGCTGACTTCACATCGGCGTCTGTGGTGCAGCAGTTAGTCGCTTCAATGTCACACGCAGAAGATCTAAATTCAATTCCCATTCGGGATGATTTTTATCGAGTATCTCCGAGTTTTTTCAAGGACCTTGCAGCCGACTCTGCCTTGGTTGGTTCTGACAAGCAGAGTAGGTGCCCACTTTTCCTAAACGATCTAAAGTGTGCCGATGGGGACGTAAAATACTTACATTTTAGAAAAGAGGGCTTCGCAACGACCGCTGGCATACCACTTCTAAAAAAAAGTCAAATTCTTCTTTAAAAGCTTATACTTTCATTGACCCGAGCTGACAAAGCGAGTAATTTCGGTGGGTAACTGCTTGGGACGGAAAAGTTGTTGTTGCTATTTGATTATTTCTTGTTGTCTCAGTTGTTGTTACTGGCGAGAGTATCCTTATTCTTGCTGTTATTGTTATTTTGTCTTTTGCTACTGTTGGTCTCATTGTCCTTGTTTCAGTATGTGGCGAGTTAGCATAATGCTATCTCATTTCAAAAGGACCAGTATTTTTTGTTGTTGAAATGTTTGTTTGCGGACCTGTCAGCGCGAGGGGAATTTTTATCCTCGAGATTATATCAATGATAACCCTGGGGAAAATTAACTGGAACGCCTACCAGTCACGCACAAGCAGTAGAGTTCTGAAGAACCAAGGTTAAGTGTTATCAGAGGTTATCAACCTTGATATGAAAGATGAAAAGGTAGGCCTCATGAAACAGCTGGCCAATGCTACCGCTGAATGTTGTTATTGTTGGGAATTATAGTTACTGTTAATCAAATGACAAATTGTAGAGTTTAACGTCCCTTGCAACACTACAATTATTCAAGAGGCAGGAACCTCCGAGTTTAACGTCCACCTCCGATAGTTATCCAGCGAAAGGGGAATAACTATTTTAATGCCTTTTCTAAGGAGACAACGTCCGACCGAGCTGAGCCTCGAACCTCCGAACCCTCAATCTCACAACTTTGAGTCCGAAAGTCTAACCACTAGACTATCAAGGCCACTACGGGGTTACACCACAATCCAGTGCTAAATGCTTGGGTATCTAAGGGTGTCCTTTGGCAATATTTCTGGCCTCTTCGCGGTTTATGGCAGAGCGGGTTTGTTTTAGTCGAACGTTGTAAACAAAGTTTAAGAGAGTTTTCACATCTCGGGAGGAAAGTGACGAAGAAGCTGCCTCTTCTTGGCAAACGACGTGGCCTGCTTTCTCGGTCGGACTTGCTAGAGGTCTTCTCTTTACCGTACAGAAATGTCTGAACGCGCATCAATTTTATAAGGTTTTCACCTGGTGCGTCCCGGCTCTGCTTAGATGGTGGTGTTTATACATTCTGCTGAATGAATTCATTTATGCATCTTTAGCTGCAACCAGTTTTGCAGCAACGCCAAGTAAGGAAACAATCTGCTCCCTGTCACGACGGAACACCTAGCCACTGATCACTAGATATGGAGCTCCTCGTTTTGTCGTGATGGTTTCCGTAATTTTCAAGTGCGCAAAGTACATGTATACCAACGGACAGCCATTTGATATATTATGTTCGATGAAACCCTATCGAATAAGAAAGGTATGAGTTGACCACTAACAATTGTGAAAGACTGAGCAGACTTGTTTTGGGGTTGGGTTTTTTCAGTCACATGAGTAGGCCTACCAACTCAAAATTTTGTTAAAGTTTTTCCACCTTTCCCCTCTAAAAGCTGTGCTTTTACGTGGTCTTGTTTTTGTTGGACATGGGAATACGTGAGTTTAAGCTCGTTTTTCAAAAGCACTGGAATTATTTTTTCCCCAAATCGGGAATTAATGTTCCCAATAGTGCTGAAAAAGGGATGTTCTCGGGACAAATTGTCTGCGGAACCGCTGAATCGTGGTTAGTTTACGCAGTCAAACGTGACTTGCAGTGCACTGAATCGTTGTGTTCCCCACAAACGATGAGGTAGCACAACGCCTCCCACCCAACTCTTTATCAGGAAGGAGTAGAAAAATAGTGACTCCGAACAGAAAAAAAAATCAGGCTGTCAACTGCGGGGTGCCCACTAACCATGGACTGAGCTGCGGGTCAAGAAAGAGTCAAGGGCTGTGATAAACATTTCTGGAGTCAAACGAAATTATAGCAAGTAGAGTTGTTTTCTTTCCCCCAGAAAATCAGTCTTCCATAGAGTACGGTAGTGACAGTGGTCAACTCATACTGTTTTGCACCATTGAGTTTCTGTAAATGCGCAGTTTTGCTTATCGTTATCATCATCATCATCATCATCATCATCATCATCATTTGAATCGTCAACAGTAACACAAATGTGACGCAGTAGCTTTTTCCTGAATAAAACCAGTGATTGATGACAGATGACAAAAGTATCATCATAATCACAATCAATATTCCTACGGATAGCAACAACAATAACAACAACAGCAGCAGCAGCAGCAACAACAACAACAACAGCAGGAGCAGCAGCAACAGCGACAACACCAACAACAGTAGCAACGATCGACAACAATAAAGTATTAAAATCAGTAATAACACCAACGACGACGCTAAAGATGCACCTCCACAGCAACAACAGTACAACAATGTTATCATCATCAACAACCGCAACAGTGACTGCTTCAACTGCAGTGAAAACCAAAGGTATAACGTAAACAAAGCGGCACTAACGTAAATAACAGTTACAACATGAATCATCTCAAACAAATCACACACCAAGGCATTTGAAAAGGTTACAACTAAAGCGAAATACTAATTTGCATAATAAACAGAAACAAGGACTTTACCTCAAGAACGTTGACTCTGCACAGCTCAGACCATCTGAATGACACTTCTTCTTGTCTGGGTTAGATTTCAGCCAGCAGCGAAGCGTGTCTGCTGACCAGAGTGTTTTGGTCGCTTGAGCC